TTAACTTTCCTGTTCTCAGTTGACAGAAATAAAAGCTGCTGCTCAGCCCTGGCACGTTTACCCCAGAGCTGCAGCAAGACCTTCACGATTGCCCAGAATTGGTTTTGCTTTCAAATTCCAATGGGGTTCCCTAACTGAAAATTGGAAAAGAGAATGTGATATTATTTTTTTCCTTTCTATGTTCAACTCACCTCCAGAGCCAGATGGAGTGGCTTGGATTTTAAACTGTTAAAGATAGTCGAATTTCATAAGAAGGGGAGAATTTCTACAATCATTTTTTGGTAGTTTGTCGTATTTTTTTCCACCTGGCCTAATTGTCTGAAACTCACCAAATGCTTTATTACATTGTAAAGCATTCTGGAGCTGACAGATGCTATTTGAAATCAAATTCTGCTCTTCTCTGCAGCATTGTACATACCCAAGAATAATCCTTCTATAAGGCATGCTATACAGTATGGCATTGGTCCCACTCAGGCAAAAATCTAGTTGACTTGTATACTGCATATATTTTGCAAGATAACCAACTGAGCAATAGTCACCATATGAATGAAAAGTAATTACTCCTGCTGGGAAACTGAAGCCATGACACAGCTTCCACAATACCTTCACCACAAGCCTGCATGCATCAGTGCTAGAGAAACCCCATAGCCAATAAAATGCCCATAGGGAAATGGATGTGAAATCAGTTTAGTTTAAAACAAGATCCCTACAATACTGTACTTTATCACTATTCTGGTGGGGGAAAAAAAAAAAGAATTAGATGTAGTGCTTCATTCCACACACTAGGATAACCAATAGGGACAGAAACAGAAGGTTTGGGACACATGGGTTTATGTGGATCATATGACCCCAATATTGATCACATGTTATTTACATGTGCTTGAAAAACTTGATCACACACATGTGAATCACATGTGAATAAATGAGATTGGATCCTAAAGTCATGAGAGCTGCTTGAAACTCCATGTGTGAAATCAGCAGGCACAAGCCTTAAAACCATGTAAGCTTTCAATGGGAGTGGAAGATCGCAGTGAAGATTTTCGGCTGTTACACAAAAGGGTCGCATCTCTGCTCCTTGCTCAGCATCCAACAGCAGTGCAATATGAAACAACAGTAAAAGAAATCAACATCACCAGACCCCCTCTCCCACCTACAGAAAGACCAAGCGATTGCATTGCTCACTTGTTCTCATGAATGCAGCCAGGCAAACATACCCACCTATTGCCTACTTGTTTTTTTTACCCGTTTTTGCTTCTTGGGCTCTTTTGCACCTACCACAAACAAGCCAAGCTGTCCAGCGGCTGAATGAGCAGTTCCTCCCCCTTTCCCCATGGTGCTCTCAGGGATGAGGCAGGCCAGGCAAGGTTGACCACCAGGCACAGCTTCCCCATCCTGCCTATGGTGGGCACAAAACCCACTTTGCTTTGGGGGGCACAAGCCAGACCACACACCTCTCCTCTAATAGCCAAGGTTCAGAACAAAGCTTGAGAAGTTGGGGACCGTTTCATATCTTTCCTCCCACAGGCGTGACAAAACCTTCCCGTTTCTGTCTGTTGTCAAGCTTAGCTTAGTTTGCAGTTACAGGACTTTCAGAAGGATAAATGAATGTGAATTAAGAGGGGTGAAGGGCTAGCCGGATGCAAGGTTTGTATCCAAGGTTTCTAGCCAGAGCCAAGTAAAACTTGCGGTGTTTCCCAGGCCTATGTTCATTGGCCCCAGATAATGTTCCATGCCTGTAGCTGACTTCTGTGCATCCTATTTTTAATCTACTGCCCACCTAGTTTTTTATCTAGAGAAATCCCTATAAAGAAACAGAAAATACATTAGTGGATCTGAACTAAAACTCCAGAGGCAAACACTCCTGCTTTGATGTGTATTTGGATATGTTATGCCATCCCAAGAGGTGCTGGGCAGCTGTGCTCAGGGGCTGTTGATCCAGGACCACCACAACCCCAGCTGCATTGCCAGACAGTGGGAAATCCCAGGCAGTGTCCTGCACTGGGCAGCAAAGTCCCTGCTGCTCCTTCTCCCTGCAGTAAACCCGTGGCAGCCACCCCTTCCCACAAGCTCAAGGTTTTTCCATGCACTCGTACCTCCAGCTCTTCAGGTAGCTAGAAACCATCAACCAATTCCTGGTCCTGTCTCCCAGCCTTCCTGCACTCCCCCTCTACTTGCCACAGCAGAAATAAGCCCAGAAGAGAGACAGACACTCTGTAAGTAGGCAGTTCCCTAGAAGAACCCCATTTTACAAGCAAGCACAGGATGGACAGATTTTTTTTGCAGGCTATGAAATGTGCTGTGGGCTTGAAAGTGATGCCTTGGGTTGTTGGAGGGTAATGACAAGGTGGACACCAAACGTCAGGGCAGATGGATATGATTCTCTTCCCTAGGGTTTTTTTCCAGACCAGGGTGGCAAAGTGCAACCTGCTTGCAGGGGTAGCCAGATCACTTCATGCAATTAAAGGACCTTCATCAAAGCCACAGGGATCTCCCAGTCCTCCAGTTTCAAGAATTGTGCTTTTGTTTTAAAAAAAAACAATAAAAAATAGGGAACAAATCCTGCTGTCACCTTGCCTTGCCTTTGCAAGGAATTGGCTGGTTGTCAAACCAAAGGTGTCTTTTCATGCTGGGCAGCCTCATCCCCGCAGCTAGCCAGCCATGTGCTCCTACCCGTCCCCTGGCAGACCCACGGCAGCGCTCCATCAATGGCCAGTGCTATGTCCTTCATTGCTGAGCTTCAGGCCTTGCACTAATAAAGTTAGTCCAGTGTTTGGTGTAAAAGCTCAACTTCTGGAGCTACCACCTGCTCTAAGGACGGTTCATCTTCTACAGAGACCGCAAAAGCTTGAGGTGCCATCACCCTGTGCTGCCAACAGGCTCTGGTCATGCAGGGTAAAAGAAGGACCAGCCCTGCTGAGAAACCAGGCAAATTTGGCCTCAGTGCCTTTCAGCCAAGGAGCATAAATAATGACAAAGAGGATGATGGACACGTTGCCTCGTTTGAGAGGAACAGACTGGAAGGTGCCTGGTTGCTGCAGCAACAAGGCCGGGCTTTCGAAAAGATGGGTTTTTCTTTCTCTTTTCACCTGCCAATCTTCCCCCCACGTCAGCGCTCTGCCGCTGCGGGAGACGAGCGGTGACATTTACACTCCCACTAACAAGCTGGTTCGGTGATGGGCAGCTCTGCAGGAGAGCATCTGGTGTCACAGAGCCCGAGCAGAGAGGAGGGGAGGGTCCTCTCAAGCAGTTGGTGTAATTTGGGACTCTCTATTATTACGAGTATTATTAGGGCAGGAGCCTGCACAGAAACAGCAGGCAAAGCTTTGGTGGGGCATGCAGTGTTCCCTGCCCTCTGTGTGGGTCTGGTCATGCAGCTGATGGGAGCAACGAGATGCCACTCCCGCCTGGAGAACGTATCTGCATGTCCTGCTGGGAGAGAGAAGGAAACAAAAAGGAAAAGAAAAAGGAGAGGATGAGCAAAAAGTCAAGCAACACCACAGAAGCAATTTCACTTCTCAGCCTGGCTCATGACAGCACACTGTGTCATCAGCTGTGCACCTGCAGTCTGGTGTTCCTCAGTGCCCCCCCTGAAGCTGCCTGTGTCTTCGGATCCTTGGAGAAACCTTGTTATGGCAGCAGAGGTGAAACTTGGGCTGCTCTCTCCTTCCCAGCAGGCTTGCCCCCCACTGTGCCTCACTGTGCTTTCCTTTGCCTTCTGGATAAGAAAACTTTCAGTTCACCAAAATTGTCTTAATAATAATAGTAATAGTAGTAATAACTAATAATAGTAACAACAACAACAACAATAATAATAATAATGCTACTGCAAAGTAAATGCAAGAAAAATACAACTGCCTGAAATTAATTGTATGAAATACTGGTGCAGGAAACCGCTTTGGGTAATCTCCTCTCTCTTACTGGTCAGTTTGCTAGTGGCATCAAGAGGAAAGCAGAAATTAAGAACCAGCAGCCTTTCCTGGCTGCCAGACTGCTCTGCCATTGCAGCCAGCTGAGAAGGTGCCCTGTTGGACCATGACCTCCAAACTGGGAGTGGAAATACAAGAATATTGTGGCCAGTAAAACTTAAAATTTTTGTATTCCAATGCATGGCAGAGCCAAGGAAGCCAGATTTCCTAAGGATCTGTGGCTGCAATCAAAGACTCATGTGGCATCTCTGATGCCTAGTATGGATTGCACTGGTACATTTATTTGAGTAAGACATTTTTTAAGGTTTTCTCTTCTCTACAGTGTCATTCTTTTTCACAAAGCTTGGAGATTCCTGGTATCTTGGAGATCTCCACCCTTCTGTCAAATCAAGGTGAAAGTACAGGCTGCAAATTACTAGTAAGACACGGACAAATAAGCTACTCCACCTCCTTCCCTGTCCCCATCCTTCCCTCTGAGTACAGAGCATGTGCTAATCAGCCTCTTTTCATTAAGGAGACAGGCTAAAAGATTAGGATGTCAAGGAGGGCAGCCCACCTCTAGTGTCTTTCTCGCTCCCTGAAGCTGGTGTAGCCCCTTTATACTGAATTTGAAGAAGCAAAGTACCTGATGTGTTGTAACCTAGTTTTCTCAGAGTAATTGCTCCGCTTTTCTAAATCTTCACTAAAAAAACTCCCTACGTTTTTCAGCTCGTGCTTGACAGTATACCTAGTAATCTGCAGAGAAGAGATGACTGAACAAATACACAGTCAAGCCTAGGGGAAAAAATGCATGAAGGCAGATTATAAAAGACCAGATAAATAATCCTTCACATATGGAAACTGCAGAAATTAAGAGGATATTTGCAGAAATCTCTCATTACAGAGAGCACAGAGGAGGCATTGGCAAGATTACAAACTGACCAGTGTATGAAGGTTATAAAAAGAAGAAACCAAACCTGTCCACCAGCGGAGACCATCACGCCTGCAGCAATGCAACGCGCACAGGATCGAGCCAATATTGCAGAGCAGCGGCAAGCACAGGGCAGCAGACCACTGTCTGGTTGCACTATAGAGAAAGTGCGTCCTAGAAACACAAGCCTCGTATACAGAGCTGAGCCAAGCTTTTGAGTCCTGCTGCTGCCCACATTATCCTAACACCCCAATTCCACCTGGTCAGCATGGAGGAGAAGGTTTTGAGAGCGGCACTGAGTGACATTGGGATTAGATGTGGGGACTTTGTTTCCCCAGCAGTGAAATGAGCCTTTCTGAGACTTGCTTCTTCCCCAGAGAGCAGTGACAATTCATTAGGCAATTGTAAAATCAGAATGTAGCTGCTCACTGTGAGTTGTGGTCCATTAATAGCCCTATTTATTGCCAACCAAATAATTAGCTTAGACATGCTTCAACAGGTCTTGATTGCATGTGAAATAACTGCCTTATTACACAGAAATCAAATGGGTTTCTGAGGACAGCTCAGGTGTCACCTCAACCTCAGTATTGAAGAGGAAAAGAAAAAAAAAAAAAAAGAAAAAACTCGGCCATTTCGATGTGTTGCTCAGCAACAGAATTTGCGGGGGAAACAATCTAGGAATGAAGGAATGAGCATTTCCAAGAGAACAGGTTATTTCAGGCGAGACATCAGGGACAAGCAAATGTCACAGAGGCGGAGAACCTTTTTTTTTTTTTCTCTTTTAATCAATAATTTAAACTAGGCATTTTGGGTAAAATAAGCATTTAAGTTAGCTGATTGAAAAACGGAGATCCCAAACCTTTACAAAGAGTCACATTGCTGAAAAAATGTTTATTTGTTTCTGTGAGGGAAACATTAGATTTACTAGACACTGAATTAAAAATTGAAAATGCTCTTAGAAATATCACCTGTTCATTTAAAGAGGAAGATGATGTAATGCCAACATTGCTATACTGTGCAGCATCCCTCCCAGAGCAATCTCATATTAATTTTGTTGTTCTCCTTCCCACATGCCCTCCCCTCCCTCCCTTCTCCTTTCTCTTCTAGGACAAGACGAGCGCGCTGAGTCTCAGCAATGTGGCGGGGGTTTTCTATATCCTCATCGGTGGGCTCGGACTAGCCATGCTGGTTGCCTTAATCGAGTTTTGTTACAAGTCCAGAAGTGAATCAAAGCGGATGAAGGTGGCAACCCATTCTCCGGCCTTTCACATCTTCTCTCTGTTCCTACCCCGGCTCCAAAGCTGCCTTCAGAGACGGATGCAGCCCAGACTATGGGTGGAAAGCCAAGACATAGGGACAATGACACTCAACTTGCTAGAAAGGAATAGGAGCATCAGAGGAAGCTGAAAGAGGGCCAAGTGGGCTGTAGAGGGGAGCTGATGCAAGATCAGACATGTGGCATATTGCTAGTTCGAAATCCAGATATACAGCAAAATCATAGCACAAATGGTAACAGGAACACATTGCCATTCCTTAAAATTAACAAAAGCAGACTATGGCAATGAGTGTGCAGCATGGGTGAAGTGTGCTGGGGTTGGTGTGATACAGCCATTACTGCAATATGAAAAAAATCCTCAAACCCAGGCAGTTAACAGCAACATAAAACTGGGGTAGTGCAGTAATGAATCAGATCCTGTTGTTCTCTTTGCTGGCACCCTGTTGGCACCATTCCTGCCTGGCAGGTTGGCAATAGTGATATATGCTCAGTGTGTTGTTGCCCTGGAAGGGATGATGTGGGTCTCCAAATTCAGAATTATGGGTCTTCTTAGAGAGAAATTGGCCTCTAATATCTCCTGCAATGTTTGGGTTTTTTTCCTCCACGCTGTCATGGTCTTGCAGAAGCGCATTTCCTACTACCCAGGAGATTTGTTTGAGCCCTAAATTCTAGTGTGCCTAAATGTCAGTGTCATGTCAAGAGTGAATTAGATTTGAGAGACTTGGGGATACACATTTAATGCAGCATCTGTGGAACAAGTACATTTTGACTCAGACGACTAGCAGAGGCGATCCCTTATACAGACACCATTGTGTACAAGGTGCAGCGGGATCTGGGCTGTACGAGTAGCACATCCCTTTTCTTCCTCATCTTGACCTCTTCCATGAGCATGGAAGTCAGTATGAATATATGAAGTATGCAGTGAGTTTCATAGAATTTAGGAGATTTTCACTTCCCTAAGCACTGAAACTTACCCAGAATCAAAAGGAATATAAGCAATAATTTCGTTGGGTTTTATGTCACCATTTCACAAGATGCTTAATGTTTTGTCAGCAATAATAACATTTCTAATTCACTGAAAATTTGCAATAGCTCTTTTCCCATTGAGGTTCAGAAAATTCTACAGGCAATGAGAGGTACATTGAGCACAGGGGTAAGATAATGTGAACAATTAATGTCCCTGAATATACAAAAATTAAATTATAATGGCTATCTACACTGTAAAGCTAGGTATGTCACAAATACACTGTGAAA